CACAAATTGATGTATTAAAAGATGTATTTGTATTCTCTCTCCATCAAAGCAGAAGCTTTAATTTACAAGGCCATTATAAATCCTGCATGAGATCACTGTCACAAGCCTTCTGCTGATCACAGACACTCACAATACTGCCATATGACAAATGTTCTGTCAGGATTACATAAAAACAGCCAAACGTTTTAGCAAAAACATAAGACAAGTCAGCACTCTGACGTCATGCCATAGGTTTTTTCTATCAAACTGGCTTCTGTTATAGTCCCAACTGACGCATTTCACCTTGATTGGGCTTATTTCAATTATCAGAGTGTGGCCTCGCCTTCTATGTTTGCTATTATATCAAACAGGACAAGCTCTTTGGAGCCATGATCAGATAAACAATACCCAAACTCAACTGCAAGATCAGCTTCTAATGGCTGAAGATCAGTGCTCAGGCTATAGTGCTCCCATACTCAGACAATCAGATCCAAAGTGAATTCAAGCTGGCAACTCGGTGTAGTCTATAAAATCCGAATATGTCTATGAGGAAGGCTGCTACAGCCAAAATAAGTTCGCTTGTTACCTGATTGTTTTACTATGTAGCCAATAAAGATTCGGATTTTACAGACCACACCGAGTTTCCAGCTTGAATTTACTATAGATCTTTGGGGTCATCATCTGGCACATCAATGGTGCTGATTCTCTTTGATTCATGACCAATAAAAGTTTTAGTTATTTGTAGATTATTATTCCTCCAACAGCCTGGACAGTGTTATGTATCAGCCCTAAGTTTAAGTCAGAGACAGCCTGCCTCAAAGCCTTACAGCCTGACATTGAGTTGACTTTCTGCACTGACAGGAAGAGAATACAAAACAAATAACAGACCACCAATCAATTCTGAGAGGCAAGGCTGCACTGTTATTACTACTGGAGATGATTTTGATTCTTGCAAATTTCTGGCTGGTTCTGTGTAAGGGTTCATGTACACTGCAGCTGCGAAACTGACATTCAGGAGCTGATCAGTATTTTTTTCATCAGCCCCTGAACGCTCCCTAATGTTTTCCTATGTGTCCATGTACACATAGTCGTTTACAGGCAGTTGAGTTTACAGTCGTTTTTGTTTTTTTTTTTTAAACACACCAAACTTGCGTTCAGAAGTAGATTTTACTGGCGTTTCAAACGCCAAACACTTGTAAACGCAGGTAACAGCGTTTATATGCATTTAGAAGCGTTTTTTTTTAACGGTTCCATACCCTGATGCTATCCAGAGCCTTTTTTCATCATCAGAAATGCATGCACAGCGGTCTCCATGTATTCAAATGGACCCAGTACACCAGCGCAGTCAGTTCCAGGTTTCGTTTCAAGGAAAAAAATGGCAGAACGTGCCGCATTATGCTCATGATGGGATCCATAGTGAATACAACCAGAAAAGACAGGTGATCTCAACACATACTGTTCTCTCTATTCCTCTCAAAATGTCTGAAATAGTTAATTTTTTACTATTTTTCAGTGCATTCTGGGCGTTTGGGAAGGTCTCCTGAGGTTATCTTTTAAAAATGATTCTAAACGCAAACGCGCATAAACGCAATATGCAAATGTGGCTAAACTGACGTTTTTTAAACTACGTTTTCCAGCAGTCAGTTTCCATCGTTCAGAAGAGTTTTCCAAACGCCCCGTGTACATGAGCCCTAAAGGGATTTTGTTATAAAATAAAAATTCTTGTGGCTACATCCAACTTTTACCCATACGGAAGCTGTCACATCTGGGCTGCATGCAAGTTACAGGACAGTAAATCCACAGCAACCCAAACAGATTCCAATTGTCTATAACATAGGCATGATCTCATCGCTGATATTATTTCTGATATTCTCCAAGACATACCTGCATATAATATTACGGTTTTTCTTGCACCCATGAAACACTGCCCCTTGATTGCTAACAGGGAAGTTATTTATGACAACTGAATAACCTAAAAAGATTCTGAATAGTTCACTTAATTGTCTGAAATAACTACCATGTAGCACACAAGTTCTCCAAACTCAGATTCTACATTTTATTCAAGATCAGATAATAGTCAGGGCAATAAAGGCACCATGATAAATAAGGTCTTATATTTATGTAGTCATTTTTACCAAAATATTTGTTCATCCACGAATCCAATTTACTTGCAGTTCACCACACATTAAATAGCTCCTTGGGAAATCTACAATTAATAAATTCTTTCCTTAAACTCCATGTGCACAGTTCTCAAGCCTTTAGGGCTTCCTTTGAAAGCCATCAGTGCCATCCAGTGCTGGCACACACATTGACAGACCCCCTGTACTCAGTTATGGCCACGAGTCTGCCTTAGCAAGTCCAGCACAGTGTATAAAGTGGCCACCACACCTATCAGACTCACATAGAGATTTGACAGATGACTATCAAGTGGAAGACGTGTACATGGAGACTTTAAGGTTTAATAGGACAGGGAAACATATAAAACCAGTGATCAAAAGTACAGACTATGGAATTAAGTTAGTGTGCTACCAAGAGTTTGGAAAAACCAATTCATTTGAATACAAGAGCTACCGTCTTCGTATTCCTGGAACTTACATTTTTTTAAGATAATTTTTTTGCATTCAGCTAAAATCAACATTTTCCTCTCTGCAACTATAAACAATAGCACATTTCTTTAAATTATTCTTAACACATCATATGTCAATTATCTTAATGCAAGCACACATGGATATTGACCATGTTAATGTGCAATCTTTTTTTTTTTTAAAGTGTAAGTGTAGGCAGGTATACAGCTGAAATACATAATAAACTTAGGCGAATGTGTTTGTAATTTTACTATGCCATAACATCAAGAAAGGACAAGGTGGAACAAAAAGCTATTTTTTCAGGATATGTGTGACCGTGGAAACGCGTTGGTTGTTGCACTTATTGCATGTTTGGAATAAAACCCTATTTTGGACTGTCAGGAATGGACTCACCATTAGTGGTGGGACTCATCTGCCTTGTGGGCTGCAGTACCAGGGCTGGCCAGAGGGTGCTCTCAGCAACCAGAAGCTCACTCCTGCAATCAGCCATCACCTGAGGCTGATTGCAGGAGGTGTATTTAAGGAATGGCCAGACCTGCAGTCAGTGCCTTGGTGTATGTTTCCTATGAGACCCTGTACCTGCATCCTGTCTGCTTCCTGCCTGATCCTGACTCTGCCTTGATCCTGACTCTGAACGAACTCTGCCTGTCCTGAGCTCGGCTATTGCTGACCACTCTTCCGCTCGCTCCTGGTACCCTGTTTGCCCGTTTGCTACCGACCCGGCCTGCCCAACTACGTTTGATTGTATATATGGTTATCTGTTGGGTGTGGGTTGTTTGCACTGTGTTATGTATACCTTGCACTGCATTTGTGTTGTTTAGTCTTCAATAAATTGTCTCATTTACACTATACCTGAAGCCTGCGTTTCCCTGTGTCAGTCCACACACCTCTGGTCATACCCGGAGCCCTGGCATGGACTCTTATACTTTGGTCTGGTGTTTTGATTTTTAGATGAAAACATTTTTCTAAGCCAAACACTATACATAGTCCTGACCATTTACTGTTCTCTTCAGGTAATGCAATGCAGCCTGTGATTGAACAGTGAAGGAACACAAACTCATTGGTGATGTTATCTTTGTGTTCTCTCCTCCAATCAGCAAACGCCTTATTTTAGATTTACAGCCAAGGCTGGATTAACCATTAGGCAGAGTATGTCTTCACCTATAAGTGGCAGAGGCAAAGAGGCAGCTACTTTTTCTATATAGTCATTGGCCTTAAATATATTTTCCATCGTGGCTAGAAATACAATCATCCCATAAAATGTTTTAACATAATTACAAGTATAAATCTAAGCCAGTTTAGATGTATTAAAAAATGTTTGAGTAAAAGATGTAATCCTAGCAGAGAGAAGATGATTTGGGAGTCATAGGTTGTGTGTCTATAGGTTTCGGTGATGGAAATTGGGATTTGTTCACAGCACCGTGCAATGCAATAAACCTGATTTGCTATCAGTGCTACCCCTTCTTTTCTCAGCCTGAATTATGAAAACCAGGCAATTACAGATGGCTGGAGCAAAAACAGATTATGCCCCGATAAAAATACACTGACATTTTTAATAAATGCATAATTTGATTAAATAGGGGTCTTTTATCACTGCCTACACTTACACTTTAAAGTGAAAACGTGTCCTCTGTGAAAAAAAAAAGCACAACGTTAAATCGATCATTAAAAAAAAGTACCCTATTCCAGAGCTGGAACCCCCTTTAGTGAACTCCCTCAAAGTCCAACCACTTGAAACATTTTGGCTTCTATCTAAAGCCAAAACATTTTTCAGTTTTGAATGGTGTGAGGAAACGTTGGAGTCTCTATCAGGTTTTCATTTCTGCCTGTGCTGTTCTAATTTGCATTTGACTTGAGTCAAGCACGTTTTGTATTCTTATTGACTTGTATGTGAATGCAAAACTTGTCTGAGTCGCAAAACAAAGCCCATCAACACAGGCCCTTAATCGTACTTCAGTTAAAAAACGTTTGCCTAGATTAATATGAATAATATAATAAAAAAACAGCATGTTATACAAAAAATTGCAGGCTTACAGTATGTCATGGTAAATAGAATATGTGATAAACTGAGCTAATACAGTAATCACACTAAATTATGGGGTAAAATAGATCTCTAAGGATTGTAGGCGATATAGCAAATATTAACAGAGCATTATGGGAAATTCAATTTTAGCAGGATTACATCTGTCTGATCATCATATAATTTTTTCTTCAATCCTTGTAAAACCAGGAATTGCAAAAAAATTTCCAGATATGGAGAATATATATATATATATATATATATATATATATATATATATATATATATATATATATATATACACACACATACATATACATACATATATACCCCCCAATTGGGCTCAATTCTGAATTAGGGAATAAGAAGTGACAGTTAGCAATGTAAAACAATGCCATAACAGTGAGAAAACTTACAGGATATGGAAGAGTACTTGACACTACCTGATCGTGCTCTTGTTAAAGGTTGTTTGGGTACAGGTGCTACAGGTTTCTTGATGGGTTGTTTGACCTCTGCCATAGCAGGTTTACGACTTGTATAACCCTGGTCTGTGCTACGTCCTGAAAAGCCTGTCCTTGGAGAAGAAACTTCAGAGTCACTTGGAACATTGAAAGAGCCAGTCCGCTTTCTTGGCATTGCCAGGATATCAAGCCTGGAAAGTTTTTTGGATTCAGAAGAGCTTTTGGCTGAGGAAGAGTTTGCAGAAGATACTTCTGGACTGTTCAATCTTTCAGCATCAGCGCTTTCATTGTCAGAAGCTTCACCTAGTCGGGCCCGCCGTAATTTAGAAGCTCGTGTAGGCCTAGGAGTTGATAGGCTGTTTGACCTGGTGAGTGCCTGCTGAACCTTTTGTGCATTTGATGAAGTTCTGTTTGTATCTTCCTTGGCTGACTGAGCATAAGGTCTCCTTCTTGAGAGATTCCTTGATGAAGAATGTTCATAGTCTGAGGATACAGTATCGGTTGGTATATAAGGAAGACTGGAGCTTCGTTCTTCATCTGTAAAGTCAAGTGAACCACGGGGTCCAGTGCTGCGCTTCATTTCAAATCGCTTGGTGGCATCTCTCCTGGTCCCTACATCAGCACCACCAGTCCTCCGTTTTTCAGAGAGTCTCTCCCGAGCAGTGGGTTGGCTGTAATGATCTTGTATAGAAGAAGCAGAAGAGGACTTTTCCTTATGAAGGCCTACAACTCTATTTTTTTGAGGATGACTTGGCACATTCTTATCACTAACCAAACTTACAGTGCTGGCAGTATCCACATCCGAATCTCCAGATAAGGAATCATCTGGTGGACACTGAACACTGTCAATGCCCTCAAGATGATTTTGAGAAAAAAGCTTGGCTTCTAGAGCTGCTAAAGCAGTCTCAGTCTCCTTGAGAATCTGACGGGTCTCTTGGCTGTAGTCAGTGGTGGACTTTGTAACATTGAGATCTTTAAGCAAGGGATGGGTTGAGATATGTGGAAGCTTAGTAGGGGATACATTACTGCTGGATTTCTCTTTGGTAAAGCTTTCCTGTCGGACAAATGAAACGGATTCCCCCGAAGATCCATTATCTGTCTTCAACAGCTGGTTACCTATTCCTTCAGCATTCGTAGGCTCTGGAGGTTGCTGCTGGTTATCCTTTAGTTTCACTTGGACATCATAAGCTTTATAATCTTTTTGCATGTCTACAACAGGTAGTGCAGCATTTGCGTGTGGTAAACGTCCTATTTCGTTATCACTACCTACATAAAAGGAAGTAGATTTCAATTCAGTAGGTGCTTTACACGTTTTATGAACACTTTGTTCATGACTACTAAAATCATCTCTCCTCCAAACACTTCTAGATGCGTTAGGTGATGGATTAGACTTTCTACTAGATAAGACACCATCATCGGACTTGCTAGCATCACTTAGGCTATCTGGATCCAAATCTTCCTGTATGTTCAATAAACTGTTTTGCTCTGCTGGAGAAGTTTTCTCATCACCCTCTACTGCAATCTTTTTGGGAACTTCAGAAATGCACTCTGTCCGCACCAAAATAATAGGTGTAGGACTTTCAGATTTGTCATTGGGAGGGAGCTGAGGAAGGAGTCTCCTTGTCCTTGATGGGAATGAGGTATCTCCATCACCAAGAATTTCTGCAAGGTCAGTATTATGACCTACAAAACAGAGAACACAATGAACTGCTTAAAAGAACAAACATTTAAAAGTTAATGGATGCAGATGATACAATACTTCTGAAGAAAAATCAATAGAAGCTTTTTCTCTTTGCGCTCGCTGGCCGAAGGAAGCAGCAGGGGACTGAAAGCAAGGCAAGTTGCAGGTGGGGCCACCATTAAAGTGAACCTAATGCTTGACATGAATGAGCAAAGCAAAGGTTCAGTTTAACAAACCCAACTTCTAATAATAAACTATAATCCTATCCCACACTTACCTTCACCCCAAATATTTTACTAAAAATGTAACCCCCTTCCCTAACATTAACCTACTCTGCCGAATTTCTGACAAACTAAACCCAGCGACATATGTACCTAATTCCGAGTCTAAAACTGTGATGCCTAAAAATAACAATACTACAATAAAAACTAACAAGGCTGATCTACCAGCACTGAAAATGAATGATTCAAGTGGCAGAGGTTCAAATGTAGAGCTTCCAAAATAAGAGACGTGGCAGCCTTCATGTAGCACATGAACGTCTTTCATCATGGTTACAAAAAAAAAAAATTTATCCAGGAATGATGATTTTGTCCAAACTCTGCAGAATGGCTAGTGCAAAAACTGAACAAGCATTTGCCAATTTCACTACTGGCTTTCAAACTGGTATAAGCATCAATCTTAGCGGGGTTGTTTTACACTTTCACTATGAAATATTAATTATATTTACCATTATCTACAGTTAATTCCAGCTTTTGACCTTCTAAAGGAGACGTTGGAGAGGCATCAGGGTAGCTGTCAGCAAGGCTTGCCCATCGTGAAACCCATTTCTGTCCACTTTTGGCATTAGAGCCAGATGATTTTGTGGCCTGCAGATAATAACATTTCAAATAAGGAAACAAAACAATAAAGCTTGACATGTATTCCCTCTCAACTTGGAACCTTACAAGTGAGATTACTTTATAATAACCTTACTTGAGGACCTCTATCATGGTATTAGTATGATTATTTGCAAACTTACTTCTCAAGCACCAATATGCATTAATCGCATAATTTCCATAAATTAATTTTAAGTAAAAGTTTTGAATAAGATTCCTAAGTAGGTTCAGGTTTTAGATTATTAAAATAAAATACATTTAAAGTAAACCCAATCTCTAAAATCTCATAAAATCTCATCCTGTAACAACAAAATCAGTTTTAGAAATTTGATATTAGCAGCTTACATTTCAATCATGCTTGGTGATCCTGATTAGCAGTTCATGGAAGGGTGGTAATACGGGTCCCCCTCAGCTGTAAGCATCTAGACCCCACCACAGGCATTCTCAGTGGGCAGACAATTTAAAGTGGTTCTAAAGACAGGAGGTTTTTACCTTAATGCATTCTATGCATTAAGGTACAAAACTTTCTTTGTTCAGTTCTCCCCCCCATCCCAGCCTCCCCCAAACATGTACCTGAACCTGCTCTTGATTCAGCCCCGAGCCTGAAAGCAGCTCTTACCTCCCTCTCCCTCCTCATTGGACACAGACAGCAACGGGAGCTGTTAAAAGCAGTCACAGAGCCTGGCTCAGGATTGAGCCCATGCAAGTGCTCCCCTAGCAAGCCGCTTGTTATGAGGGTACTCAGAAAGGGAGGAGCCAGGAGCACCAGCAGGGAACCCCAGAAGGGGAAGATCGGTGTTCTCTGTGCAAAATCAGAGCAGGTAAGTATGACATATTTGTTATTTAAAAAAATAATTTACATTCAAATCACTTTCATAGGAAAAAGTGAAAATACTGAATTTGAAAAGACACATTTGACCCTAAAGAGGGCACACAAGTAACTCCATGTTATGCTAATAAATGTCCAGTGGGTCATACAAAGCTGCATACATCATACAGTGTGCCTTTTGCAATGTATGATCATGCAAAGAAGCGTTATGACTTGGTCCCTTTTAATAAGGCACAATCATGGCAAACAGAGACACTCACCTGGCCATCAGCCTGAGAACCATTAAATGCTTTTGAAGTCTGAGTTATTGACAGCATCATAGACTTATGATTCACACTGCTGTCTTTCATAGAGGATTCTTCTTTTTCCAAATTAATGATCGGTCTGTACACTGTTGAGGAGATCATGGAATACTCCTCTGGATCAAAGATTCCAAACACCTAAATAAAAATAAATTTAGTTACTTAAGTACTCTTCTCTCTAAAATCAATACCTAAGTATTATATGCCACAGTATGGTTACATGCATACACTAGCCAGAAACAGAAAGGTGAAAAAATAAGTGTATGTGTGTTTGTCCCCAAGGAAAAAAAAATAAAAACTCAATCCAAAACTTGCTTTTTTAGGTTTTGTCTACAGTGGGGAAAGGTTAACCCTCCAATTTTTTTTTTCATGCCATTTGTGTCCCTCATGAAGAAATTGTCCTGGTGACCAAACAGGAAGTGAGAAGATTTCCCCAATGGGCACATAGACAGCACTGAAAACTTTACAAACCTCCAAGCTAATTTTTATTACATTCTGTGATACCGCCGCATTCAGTGACCACATAGGAAGTGAATTAAATGCTCCTTGATGTCTACAGAAGCAGCAGTAAACAGCCCGAAAGAGATTAAAACCTGTTTTCATTGTGCCCAAAATGTCTGGAGTTGTGCTGTAATTGAAGATTGCAGAATAATTTGTGGATAAAATTTTAAAAATGTTAAAACATTTTTTAAAAAATCACCGTCCAGGGTTTGGGGGTGGGGGAGGGGGGGTTGCTGAAATGAGAAAAATGCTTGAATGAGCATCAGCATTTCCAAATTTGTAGCTGCAATGGGTCAGTTCCGTGGACCATGCGCCAGTCTGGTGGATGGTACACAGAACTATCAGTTAGGGGTAGACTATGATAGGCTAATTATCCACTGGCCTTTATTATTTTTAAATAAACTCCATCAGTCATCTCTTACAAGTGCAGACCACAGCTCACTACCGCCATTACCTCTTTTCCCTGCAGTGCACACAGAAAGGAGTTGTTTAGCTCCATGTCACCATGTCCAACACCAATACAAGGTCTCCTAGTCTTGATGTGAGCCATTGTACATACTGGGCGGACTGCAGGGCAGATCCAACAAAGGAAAGAGATGTTTTCCTTTTGGGATTGAAGCATATTTTTCCATGAAATGCACTGATCTAAGCAGCCTATCACCCTCCAGCAACACAAGCAAGGACATGTGGTAGTGTTGGCAGTAAATAAACTTAATGCGAAGTATATTTTGTTGCAATAACAATAGAAAAAAAAATGCTGGAGGGAATGCTGTGATGCAACAATTGAACAGATACAACACGCCATAGGAATGATTTTATTTGGCATCTTAAAAAGTAATTTTATCTGTTTGGGGTGAGTACAAATGATCAATGATATATTGATATTATTAAAATGTTTGATATCCTTGAAAGTCCCTTTATGTCGAGTTTTTGCACAATATGGTTTTTTAGCATGTGGATATTTCTAGACCTTTATTGAACCGATTATCTGCCCACAAAGAAAGCGACTTCATACTTCAACATTTCTTGCAGTGCAAATTTAAAGCCCAGTTGTGCTTTAAAAAGAAAAAAAGACATGATCAATAGATGAAAACAGTAAGCGATAACCACAGTACTGTTTTTTACATTTCAAAGTTCTTCCAGCTCCAACAGAAAATTATGATACTGTCTAGAGATTGCAGCTAAATTCCGCTGAGCACTGTTTGAAAGCAGAGGTCTGTGTACAATGATCTAACACCCCCGCCTTGTCATCACTGCATTTGTGCTGACTGCAGTGCTGTAGCTCTGACTCGGCAGGGAGGAGTGTAAGGCAGGCCAGTGATTTTCTTTTCACCATGGCTGGAAGAAAAGAAAGTTGCTTGATTCCCCCAATTGATGGGGGAATCCCTCTGGCAGCGTTATTGTGTTCTGCCAGTGGGGAGCGATCCCTGCAGGCAGAACACAATACTCAGTATTCCCAGTTATACCTGGTGGCACTATTTGTTCAGGAAAAACTCGACAAGCTGGTTGTACACAAAGTGATCAATAGATTGGCATATGTACAACCAGGGTACTCATATATGGATTGAAATCCAGCCAATCACTGCTAAACTGGACAAATTCTGATTTATGTATGGCCAGTTTTAGACAGACCTCTACTCTCACACCAAGCTCAGTGGTCATTAGCTGCAATCTCTAATTTGGCGTTGCGAGTTTTCGGTAGTGGTGAAAGGGATTTGAAAGGAACAAACAGTACCATGCCCAATGATAAGGACGTGCTTGCTTACTGTTTTCATGCAGCCCAAGTTTATAGGCCTCAATTTTAGTCAATGCACAACTGGGTTTTAATATGGATTCTAGCTACAATAACGAAACCTTCTTTTAATGGGAAGGCCAAGTGAGCAGAGCTAGGAACTAATGTTGAGAGACAACCAAAACCCAGTACATATTTTAAACCTACAGCAGCCACCCACTTCTCAAATAACAATTTTGGGTTGACTGACCCTTTGTAGAAGCAGATTCATGTTTTAGATCTAAAGATGTTTGTAGTATAGACATGCTCAATTGTGGCGAAAACAGCAAACAGATTTCATGTTTTGGTTAAAAATAAAGAAAAAGCTATACAAGTGGGTAAATCATGTTTCTGGTAAAAATCTTCAAAAGAAAAAAAAAAAAAAAAAGATCCATCAATAAAAGTAAAAAAAGTATAGATGCTTAAGGGCATCATTTGTGTCAAAACTGCTTCTGTTTCTATACAAATAAATTAAAAAGCAAAAACAGCTTGGCCCAAGTCAAATAAACGTATATCTAAGGTGAATTGCACCAGCCAATGAACTGTAAATTACCTCAGAAGTGCCTCAAACTGATGTCAAATTCAAGCAGAATGCACCTAAAAGCAAGCTGCATTTGCCCATCAACAGAAGCTTTAAAGCCCATCAATACAAGCCCTATACCAGCAGCTCATGGCTGTACCTCATCAATTCTTTTCCGAGCTTCTTCAACCTCTTTATCTTGATTCTCAGTTTCAATTGTATATGTCCCAGCATCACTCAAGCTGTCCTCTTCTTCATTCTTCTTGTCTCTCACTGGTCTGTTATCAGGTTCTAGAGGCACAGAAGGTACAACACTGGTAGACTCCATTGGGTTGGTGGTTTGTTGCATGATCCCAGATGACAAAGGTAGGCTCATAGGTGGTTCAGCTATCTTTTTGGCTGCTTCTGCTGCTTCTTCACGCAGAAGCTCACTGGAGTATTCTTGAGCCAACTTGGATTTCTTGCCAATGCTTCCAAAGTTTTTCGAAGGAGGCTTTGCTGTTATCGGGGTGGAAGTATTTATTCGGTCATCAGTCTTTTCTCTTCTGAAAGAGTTGGATCTTTGAGGAAAGGAAGAGGTGTTTGCCAGTGGTTTGGTAAGGGATGGTGGTGGAGATGTCCCATTTATATTTGGCTTCTCTGGTGGTAATGTTGCTTTCCGTTTATCCCCATTTTTCCCCTTGGAGTCGGCATCAGTTTGAGCAGCATTCGCAGTATGTGTAAAGGACTGAGACCTCTTTTTTCGTGGGGCGTCATCGTCAAAGAATTCTATAACAAATGCCTGCTGGTTGTGCAACAGCTCTTCTGGTTCCCGTTTAATCTGGCGCTGAAGTTTTCCCTGATCAGCTGAGGCAGGTACAGACTCTTTTTCAGGGACTGCTACAGGCTGATCTTCTGAATCGCTTTGTGTACCATCTTCATGTCGGTTACCTTCATTAAAAGAAATAGTTTTTAGCTAAAAAAAAAACAATGACTGGAATATACGATTTAAAAAAAAAAAAAAAGCTAAATGGTGATAACTGAACAACCACATTTAAAACAATGAACTCTTTTTGAAAATTGTACCCATCGTTTTAGGGTGCACTGGTGTTTTTAAGTCTTACCGGAAATATATCTTTGTAGCATTTCCCCATTGCTACTAATACAGCCTTGTCCATTACAAGTAATCTGCAGCTATGGACCCCTGTTCTGAGAACAGTGATCTCACTGCAGCAGCCTTACCTGCCCCCCCGTTGAGTTAGACGAATAGCTCCACAATCAGTGGAAGTGCTTGCTTTATAGAAAAGGACTACTGCACCTGTTTGCTGCACTTTGATCTTCACAATGGAAAATAAATAGCAGTTGGCGTTTTTTCAGATTTTTTTGTTTTTCTTCAGATAGGAAGCCTTAACATTGTAGAAGTATTACCACCAAAACAGAGCCTCCTACCTCTACATCAGGGGCTGTACACAGACAAGTAATTTTGTGTAGCAAAGGACTTTAAAGGCCATATAGATAATGACACCACCAAAATATTTTGTTCACAAATATTAAATCACATGTAAGACCATATCCCATACTTTGGTGCAGAGTTCTCAGTTCTTTCCCGCATGATTACAGAATAGGAAAACCACATTCCACATATCATCTCAACGCGTTTCGAATAATCATACCTCTTCATCAGAAGCATGAGTGAATGAGATCCATGCAGTTGAACCCAATCATTTAAGAACAGATGATATAATTAGTTATTGATGGGTAGACTGGAAGAATAGCACATGACTGAAGATGAGCCCATTCTTACACAAGGGACACCAGAAGAAGCCAAGCCAAAAAAAATCACTCCAAGGAAGGCAATTCCTAGGTCAAATAATCAAGAATGCCACAAAATACTCCAGCTTTGGTGTCCAATAGCCTCCCACCTGTTGGAGGTCACTGCCCACCAGGAAGTATTTTGTGGGATTGATCTAGGAGCTGCCTTCCCTTGGTACTGGTGTTATTTTTTTTGGTTTGGTGGCTTCTTATGGCATCCTTTGTATAAGAATGGGGTTTTCTTTGGTCATCTGCTGTTCCTCTATGCTCCCTTCTTGGAAATGATGGTCTACATCAACTACCCTACAAAAGATAATTTAATTCACATGTGCTCCTGATGAAGACGTATGATTCTTTGAAACACGTTGAGCTGACATATGGAATGTGGCTTATTATTAGGTATCAGTGGAAAAGAACAAAGAACTCTGCACAAAAGTATTGGATATAGTGTTACATGTGTTTTTAATATTTGTACAATAAACGCCAGGGGTTTTATAGTAATATTTTTGTGGTGCTATTATCTATGTGCCCTTTAAAGTCCTTTACTACATAAAATTACCGGTCTATGTACGATATTCAGGATGTGGGCATATAGGGTCATAGAATCTCCCTTCATAATAATGTTAGGGACTGTACAGCCTAGAAAGGCAGGCTAGAAAAAAACCTTAAGGTGAGACTGTCCAATATAGCATACTAATTGAGCTGCATATGTGCGCTTTAAACATTTCCCACTGGTTAATACTACATGACTACCTGCTCTGCTTGTAACTCAGTTGCTTACAGATCTACCATTGCATGAGAAATGCAGCCAATGGATAAATTCATGCAAAATTGTATGACACAATTGGCCCCATAAAAAATAAAACTGTCTAAGGTAAGCAATTATAGTTTCTTTAGCCTCTGTAGGCTGAAGTAGAAAACTGGCATTCAATGGTTCCTATGGGCAACACAACCATATTTCCCCCTCTCTAGTTTCCATACATGAAGTTCAGAAATCAAAAGTCCTGCTTTGTGCTTGGCTTACCTTTGAGTGTTCTGTTGTGGATGGGAAGGTCACTCTTGGTACTGTATACATCTTCTCCGGGTGATGGCCTTCTAATTAAGCTTGGGTCATTCTGAACCAACCAATCAGCCACTTTACTTTCTACAGACACCATCTCTGCTGGAGTGGTTTCCTTCCCTGCTCTCCTCTGTCTCATGGAGAACTTTGTGACATGGTCTTTAATCTTGATTTTTCCTGGCCGACAATCATCAAACTCAATGGTAAAAGAGGCATGACTCTGCATGACTGGAGGGGTCACAGTATCGGTGTCCTTGGTCGGGATTTCATGGACTTGGGCCTCTGGTGTTTTGGCTGGTTGCTGGAAGTCCTTTGTGGGAATTTCAAAATAGCTTGGTTCTCTCCTAAATGAATAGAGTGATTGGTCTGAGGTGTCTCTGTACCCCACATTACAATTCATTTCTTCTTCATGTGGGGGTATTCCCTTTGGTCGGTCTGTGAAATCAGTGTAAAAAGAAAAAAATGTATGTAGTAACAGGTCAGACTTAAAATTGAGTAAAATAAACCTATATAATAGAGTATTGGTCACAGTCTGCTGCCATGTTTAAAATCTAATAATATCTTGCCCTCGATGGTTCAGCCAGAATCCCCCCCCCCCCCCCCAGGACATTGTATTCTGACAGTGGTACCCACTACTGTCAGAATACAGTGGTACCCATTGCTGTCAGAATACACTGATCAGCGGATGCAACTGCTGATCAACAAAAAACTTTTCTAGAATGTCCCTTTGACAGAAGACAATGAAAAAATTTACTTCTGTCAAGTTGGGGCAGCCACACACTTATTTGAATTAATCTAGACCCCGCTGAACCAGCTGAATTTTGATATATGTATAGCCAGCTTTAGGACTATGTCACACTAATTTCTTAGTGTATTGGTGTGAAATATAGACTGGACTTTCAGGGTTTGTAAACCTGCTTTGGCTGTCATAGGGGTTTCCCACTCAACCTGCTAGGATCTTTTTTTTATTTATCCTTTTAGAGAATATAACTGGAGGAGCCGGAGCAACCAACAGTAGGTTAAAACACCCAAACCCGCTTGACAGAACTATGGCTAGGGGATCTCCCTGATAAAGTGTCCAATACAAATATACTTTGCTTGCTTCTGGACTCTGATGCAAGTGACCAAACGAAGAGAAGGAAACCATTCATATGATTGTGCAGGTCATATGATAATGCCCTCTCCTTCCTTCCACAGCTGAAAGGAAAGAATTTCTCTTGATTCCCCTATCAACACAGTCAGTGCTGATGGGAGAACACCACCTGCAGTGCTATTGTGTTTCATTGGTGGGAAGCCTTCACGACCAGCAGAGCACCATGATTACTGCTAGCAGCTATAACCTCCTGCAGTAGTCGCATGTAAAATATCAACCAGGCTGGTTGTACCAAAGTCAATTGATGGATCGACTTGGGTGCAATCAGCCTGCTGATACAAGGATCAAATTTTGGCCGTTCCCTGCTGAACTGGCTGAAATTGCAACCATCTATGTTCGGCTTACAGTGATAATAAAGTCTGTTTGCTTGTTTTTTTTCTTAAAAATAACAAACATGTCATACTTATCTGCTCTGTGCAGTGGTTTTGCACAGAGCAACCTGGATCCTCCTCTTCTTGGGTCCCCCGCCAATGCTCCTGGCTTGCTATGGGGGCACTAGAGCAGGCGCCGGGGCTCTGCGTGTCCATTCACACACAGAGCCACGGCTTATCCCCACCCTCTCCCGATTGGCTCAATGGCTGTGATTGACAGCATCGGGAGCCAATGTCTCCCGCTGCTGCCTCAGCCAATCAGGAGTGAGAGTCCCCAGAGAACCAAGGCTATTGTGAATATCACTGGATCAAAAAGGGGCTTAGTTTAGTGTTAGGGGGGCTGCTGCACACAGAAGGTTTTTTACCTTCATGCATACAATGCATAAAAAAAAAAACCTTGAGACTTTAGAACCACTTTAAGTGTAGTCAATACTTTTTTTATTCAAAGGTAAACAATTAATACCCCTATCACGTTTCTGTTGTAGTCTGTGTTCTTTTTAGGTAGGTTCACCTGTTTTTCTGGCGATCATTATCATTGAGACAGTGATTGGAAATCCAGTTGCCACCAGAATATGGAAATCTCTTAATAAGGACATCTGTTCTGGTGACAAACATCTAAGAGAGAAATTTCCCTTACCTCTTCAAGATTTCCCCTCACTACCTGTTGTGTCTCCGGGACAGGAAGTGAAGGGACCTCTCCCCTGTGGGACACAGACAGCTACAAATAACCTAACAATAGTTTCAGACTCTTTTTACTTTATCAAAAACAAAAAGAGAAACTTTTTGGCATTTGGGATAAGCATGTACTGGCTGTGCACACAAAGTTGGTTGAGAGAACAAAATGGCTGCCTTGCTGCGCATAGCCAATGGGCTGTCTACAGGGGGCTATTACATATATTCATTGAATTTTGTGATTCTGATATAAGGGATTATGTTTAATGACCCTGTCAGAGCCATTATATGGGTTTTAGTATATGTATGATGATTTTAAAGAATGTTTGTACAATAAAGTATATTCCTTTTTACATTTATGTATGTGTGGCATATTTCAAGCTGCATTAAGTCCCAAGGGGGTATTTTCTTTTTGTATTAATGGGCTGATTACAACAGATAAAGCTTACTTACCTGAAAAATGATCTTTCCGGCCTCCTCTCCTCATGTTTGTCATGCATGTTATTTGCATCATCATCTCCCCACCAAGATGGCTGCCCATAGAGCGGTGTTCGATATATTGAGGGCTCTGTAAAAACAAAAAAACACTTCCCACTATCAGCTTATAAAGACAAAACAAAAAAAAAACTTTGTTCAGTACTGTATTCTAACCAGGAGCTTCACAAGCCCACGCGCTCTGATGTGGTAACACCGGTACTGAAAAGTGACTTTTAATTACATGGCATAATTTCCTGGCGGAAGACCAATAAAAATTCTCCATAACAGAACTCTAGTGTTTCAGGCCTGTGTATACAACACGGTGTCAAGTTTACACAAAACAGGAACATTGGGAGTTCAAAGCAAAGCAGATTCCCATAGAAGGCCGCTAAAACAGTACATGCAAAATGATTGGAGCAAAAGGAAAATAAATAAATAGGAGAAAGCAATGGTGGTGAATGAGTTAACACGTACCACTGGGGGGTTTCTTCTCCACCTTATCCTGTTTCCCTGGCGACGGGTCTACATGAGAAGATTGTTCTTTAAGATGTTCTGTCCTCATATTCATGGAAGTCTTTAAATTCATCTGAAGTTGGCTGGTGTATTTTTCATGCTGAAAAAAAGAAGAAATCATTAGGAAAATGCATTTAAAAAAAGTAAAAAAAAAAAAAAAAATCAACCCCTCCTAAAATCATTATTTTGAGTGGTTAAATACTGGCAGCTTCTATCTTTCAGGACTCCAGTGACAAGACATTTGCGCCAGAATTTTTTGACTCCATTTGTCTGGTGAGCTCATTACAGCCAAATGACAGCATCAAACATCTCCATGCGCAGCTCAGTGTACATTCATTGAAAGACTGACAGGAGGCAGGTAAGCGCGTTTTATTGCAGAAGAGACATGGGGGAGATTTACTAAAACTGGAGCATGCAAAATCTGGTGCAGTACAGCATAGAAACCAATCAGCCTCCAAGTTTGACTGTCAAAGCTTAACTGAACAAGCTGATAGGCCACCATGCACCGCTGCACCAGATTCTGATTGCTCCAGTTTTAGTAAATCTCCCCCATAAAACGTTTCTTTTACAAGAACTGCCTACTTGCAGTTTTTAAAATGTTAGGTTTAATTCTGCTTTAATGGCAGACAGTGCTGTGAAAAAGTATTTGGCCTTTCCTGATTTTTCATTTTTTGCATTTGTCACACTTAAATTATTCTGATCATTAAACAAATTTTAATAGTACACAAAGATAACCCGAGTAATCACAAAATGCAGTTTTTAAATGATTTCATTTATTAAGGGAAAAAAACTGTCCAAAGCTGCCTGGCTCTATGTGAAAAGGTAATTGCCCCCCCCTCGCTATATCATGAATGAACTCTGTGATTAACCACAATTTTTGCAAAGCGGAGTTAAATTTCACTTGCCACACCCAGACCTGATTACTGCCAGACCTGTTAAATCAAGAAATCACTTAAAGTGATTCTAAAGGTTTTTTTTTCTGCGTGTGCAGTGGCTTTGCACAGAGCAGCCCAGATCCTCCTCTCCTGTCTGGTGCCTCTATAGCAAGCAGCTTGCTATGGGGGAACCTGCTGCTTCATGTGTCCATTCACACATGGAGCCGCAGCTGGGCTCTGCCCCCTCTCTTTTCTCAGTGGCTCACTGACTGTGACTGACAGCAGTGGGAGCCAATGGCCAATGAGAAGAGGGAGACCTGGTAGAGCAGAGACTCCAGTGCACATCGCTGGATTGAGAGGGGGCTCCGGTGAGTATTAGGGGGGGGTGGGGGGGGACTGCACACAGGTTTTTTTACATTCATGCATAAAATGCATGAAGGTAAAAAGCCTTGAGCCTTTAGAACCACTTTAAATAGAAGCTGTCTGACAAAGTGAAGCACACTAAAAGATCTAAAAAAGCGACACATCATGACGTGATCTAAAGAAATACAAGAACAGATGAGAAACAAAGTAATTGACATGTATCAGTCTGGAAAGGGTTACAAAGCCTTTTCTAAGGCTGTGGGATTCCAGCAAACCATGGTGAGAGCCATTATCCACAGATGGTGAAAACTTGGAACAGTGGTGAATCTACCCAGGATTGGCCAGCCTAGTAAAATTACTCCAAGACCACAATGACGACTCATCCAGGTCGTCATAAAAGATCCCAGAACAACATCTAAAGAACTGCAGGCCTCATTTGCTTCAGTTATGGTTAGTGTTCATGATTCAACAATAAGAAAGAGACCGGGCACAAATGGCATCTACGGGAGAGTTCCAAGACGAAAGCCACTGCTGACCAAAAATAACACAAAGGCTCATCTCACATCTGCCAAAAACATCTTGATTATCCCAAAGATATTTGGGCAAATATTCTGTGGACTGGTGAGTCAAAAGTTGAACTTTTGGGAAGGTGTGCATTGCATTACACCTGGCGTAAAAATAACACAGCATTTCATAAAAAGATCATCATAGCAACGTCAACATGGTGGTGGTAGTGTGATGGTCTGGAGCTGCTTTGCAGCTTTAGGACCTGGATTACTTTCCATAATTGATGGAACCATGAATTCCGTGCTCTACCACAAAATCCTGAAGGAGAACATCCGGCCATAAGTTTGTGACCTCAAGTTTAAGCACACTTGGGTTATGCAGCAGGGGGTTTATGGGGTACGTTTTTCACATAGAGCCTGGAATGTTTGGACAGCTCTTTTCCCAAAATAAATGAAATCAAAATTTAAAAACTGCATTTTGTATTTACTCGGTTATCTTTGTGTAATATTAAAATTAGTTTGATGATCTAAATCACTTAAGTGTGACAAACATGCAAATAAAATCAGGAAGGGGGCAAATATTTTTATATACAGTGCTGTAAAAAAGTAACTGTGGAAGCAGCTGAAAGAGACCATGTTTTGGGGAGGGGGCAGAGATCGAAGTTAATTCAGGAAAATCTTGACAAGTGGGTTTCTGAGAGCCTAAAGCTAAACTCAGGGTTTACTTTAACTTTAAATGGTTTGTTTGGGCAGGTAATATAACACCTCCTCACTGCCTGTCAAATACCCTCTGAAAAGCAGTGTGACTGGAAGGACAGAGCCGAAGATCGGTACAGTGGGGATTTCTGCAGATCCTTACCTGGAGTGAAGAACAGGTGCACGGCTCCTGGTGTTTTCAGATACAGGTGCTAACACAGGAAGACTTGGCCAGGTAGCAGAGTGGCGGAAGAGCATCAGAACATCTCCTAAGCAACGCTCTACCACCTGAACCAAGGTCCTCCCTGTACCGATCAGCTCCTCAGGGTCTCTCCTTCCAGATCTTGAAGCTCTCTACATGGACATCTGTCAGTGTGCCTATCCAAGTCTGTCAGTTTCTTCAGTGCTGACTGTGGAGGCATTAAGGGCCAGATAAGGACAGCCAAAGGGCAGGTGTGGCCCTGGGGCTACTATTTGCCCATGTCTGATCTAAAACGATCACCCAAAGTGCTTTTATTATGGTCTACATTTCCATTAGAGAGCTTCCCCTGTTGACCATGAAGGATGTGAGGTTAACGTCCACAATGGGGACATAAAAAGCAAAAAAACCTGACAGAATTCTCAACCTTCTCTAACCTATCCAAATCAGAAAACAGGGTTTGGCTGGATTCTCACTTTAAATTTACATTTTGTTAGGTGCTGACTTCTTTATTACTGTTCAAATCATGGTCCAAGTATGTAGCTCAGAAATCAGTATATCTTTCCTCAGTTGTAGGTCTGGGAAAACACACTATTTCCTTCTTTCTTTAAATAAAAAAAGTCTGCATCAGTCTTGCTCATCCTTTTTACCCTAGAAGAATCCTTGAAGTGGTCTTGGGTAGCCAGATTGAAAAAATTAATTGGAAGGGAGTTGGAAAAATTCCCCTATATTTGTCGGTCAGAATGCCCCTCCTATAGTGGTGCTCAGAATGCCACCCTTAAAAAAAGATCATTAGGATCACGTCACCAGCCCTGCCAAATAGTGTTGGCCCAGAACTATGCAGGCACTATCAAATGGGAGTTTAAATCAGGCACACACAGCTCAAGGAACCTCTAGAACCACTGAAGGAACCCCAGGGTGCCACAGAACCCAGGTTAAGAATGGCTGGTCTACAGGGACCACAGAGCTGTTATCAACCATCAACCCAGGTGGTAGGAAAAACAGGTCAAACACTTGACTCTGTCATGAGAGACTATGGAGGATGCCGTTGATGAAGTCCATTTTAAAAAATATAGTTCCCTGGCTATCATGTTGATGCTATGGCTTCCATGCTGCTTGAGCTGCTGTCCCAAAAGAGGTATAGAGGGCAGAAACTCTGAATAGTTTCTGACACTCATTTACTAACATTCTGAAAATGATGCCCTTTGGCATCCCCCACACTTCTCTCAAGACAGAGTCACATGACAAAATAATAATAAAATAAAAAGACATTCCCATAAGCATCATGGGAAATTGTAGTAAGACTGTGATCACTATAGATACCAATTACACACTATATGGATAACCTTCAATGCTTCCTCCGGTACCTTATGCTGAATTTGTTCCAACACGTACATATTGATATGTACAGAAGCAGATAAGGAAAAAAGAAAATCACAGTGACTAATGTACATTCAGATATCAACGCCCTGTATTGTCCTCAAAAAGAAGAATGAATGCAGAGGACTCTCATCCTGCTTGTATGAGGAGAACTCACATGGGGCCTCTAATATTCACTTCAGTGGTGAAGGAATTCATTTTTTACACTGAAAATGTAGCAACATAACGTGAATCTCTCTTATGCCAGGAAAGGCCAAAAGAGAATGTGTAAAAAATTACAACTATTTCTGTGAAAAAACATAAAATAATTCTATCCTGTGTGCAGCTGCATCTTTGGCATCATGTTGTAGCTTTTCCATTGCAAAAATTAAGGAGAAGTGTTAAAGTGGAACTAAACACCAAGTGAAGTTTTAGTAACCATTATAGAATGAATTGTGTCTAATCAGTACATTCAAAGACTTACCTATTGTCTTAAATTGCTCCTGAAACAAGGCAGTGCACTTCCTATGCCCCTGCGCCCCTATGCCTTGAGGTTTACAGCGGTTTATTGGCAGATCATCTAAGGTACTGCTGTCTCTGACTGCTAGTGTCACAAAATTTGAAGTGAGATTTGGTGACATAACCACCTTACTGATCATTGTTCTCCTTGCTGTGAAGGAAGCTGCTTAGGAGGACTTGCAGTGCAATGATATCCCTGCTTCTTTTATCAATTCTGAGAATCTGTATTTTCTAAACCTCATCTGCTACTTCTTGATCATTACTCCACCAATCATCAGATCACCGATCACCAGGGAGGCAGCTTTGACATGTGGAATCAAAGCCCTGCCTCTACCAAGATGGCTGCCTCTACACAGAGACACAGCAAAGCTCAAGACATGGTACATCAATTAATGTGGAAAGGATGAGCTGCAGGAAGTCCACATGCAAAAATGATGACTAGTCCTCTGCTCTTCTCCACCATTAAAATAGGTCTTTTGGCAGTAGGACAAGATCAAAGATCTCCCACAATCCAGTGCCAGGTGACTAAGCAGACATTCATCATGCTTTAGCACGGTCATATGAAAAGGGGAAAAATGTGCTTAGCAAATGCAAGTTGCAACTTTCAGAAAGCCGAGGCTTGCACAGAAATTAAATGGGCTCTGGCCACAAATTTAGACAGCAGGAGAGAAATAAAGCAGCACTGGGCTTACTTTTAATTGGTATTCAAGTCTTTTTTTTTACTTTATCATAGCAAACATGTTATACTTACCTGCTCTGTGCAATTTCATTGCACAGAGCAGCCCTGATCCTCCTTTTCTCGAGTCCCCCCACCAGCACTCCTTGCTCCTCCTCTTCTTGCTGTGCCACCATAGGAAGCTGCTTCCTATTGTGGCAGACCTGCTGGTTCAATCCAGAGCCCCGCTGTCTGCGTCTACTAACACAGACAGAGAGGCTCGGCCCTGCTGCCTTGTCATTGGCTCCCGCTGCTCTTAGCAAAGCCTATGACAGTGGGGAGAAGAGGAGAGAGCCACTGTAGATGGGCATGGCGCTAAATCGGGCTCAGTTAAATATTGGGGGGTGGGGTGGGGGGTTGTTGGGTGAGGGGTTGGTATACATACCTAAACATTTTTTTACCTTAATGCAGTGATCATCACAAACTGATAAAGTATTAAAAAACAAGAAAATAATTCTATATATAATTTTTTTGTCTAGAACAGCGCATTGCATATCCAGGCATATTCTCCTTTAACAATTTAGCAGTTAATTACCAGATAAAAGATCCAGGGCATTGTATTCATATGAGACTTTTCCGCATTCCTTTAAATGTACTAAATAGACCATAAACCAGTAAATTCACCACCTGACTCCCAGGGATTGAGAGACTAATCTGCTTTTCATGTGACCTCAGTATGTCATTGCACAATCAGAATGCCACCAGGAAGAAACCTTCTGCCATTGCAGCAGTTATAAAGGATATCATAGCCAAACCGAATCACGTCATTCAGTTTAAGGGTGATGTATTTCTGATCGGGGATCCTTACATCATTCACAAAGGTCTGCAGGGAAAAGAAGGAGATGAGATAAATGAAAATTGGCTTCCAGACTTCTTCTGCAAGCAAGCAATAAATATTTTATTTTTCAGAACATTTTGTGTACTTAATTAGGGAAGATATCATAGAACACATTGAAAAAGGCATGGCTGGCTGGTAGGGTCCTGGGAGAGGATTGGGTTTTCTGTAGATGGAGCTGAAAGGGTAAGTGCATTTTTAACATTCTATCACAGATCTGAAATGATTAAAGCATTACTATATAAGAAAAGTAGTAACTACAAAAATGTACCTGTAACAAGGGAGAACTCCTATTTCTGCATTGTTCGGACTTGCACTGTTGTTTCTGTGGTTACATAAATGATTCCCTCCCGTAAACCTCTAGTGTGTACTTAGTAAACAGGGAGGCGGGCTCTATGTTGGAATAGTCCTTCACCACTGGATGCCAACCTGACTCAGTGCCCGCCTTCTTGTCTTAGTTGACCAGTGGTGACAAGTGATGGCTACAATACAGGGACAGAGCAGACTGCATGTTAAAGAAACAGGGGCTTTGTATGTTTTGTACTTTTTAAAATTTTGAACTTCTAAGAAGATCAAAGTGTACAACAGGCTATGTGATACCTCTTTCCTTTGCACCCAAGTGACAACACTCAGACCTTGGATGCTCGCGCAAAGACTTCTGCATTGTGGGGGAAATTGGGGGAATGTCCTGTGTTCCTTTATAGCCCGAAGTACCAATTATTTCTCTGGACTTTGGCAGCAGACTACAGCTTGCAAGGCAAGTACTGACTGTATACAGGGCATACAGTGAAGCAGCCAATCTCAACCAGAGTTCCACGGAATTCTAAGGTTCCTCAACCCGCTTAGGGGTTTCTTGAGCATTGGCGGAAGGACCCCTCATCTGATGGTACCTGCAAAGTTCTCAGGTCAATGTGACCTGGCAAAACCAGTAGCATGACACAGCTATTTCATCAGCTGTCTGTAAAGGAGGCATTCTTTCTCTTGACAACCTAGAAGCATTTTCCCCATTGACCCTAGAAGAATTGTTTCAGTAAGGGTTCCCTGGATCCTGAAAATTATTTTCTGGGATCCTATGAGGTAAAAAGTTTGAAAAAGGTGCTCTAAAAACTGTTCTGAGTATGGGAAAACAAAAGCTTTATTTTCAGATTTATAATCTGGCAACATTTCAGAAACTACATTCGTACCATAGAACACTTTTCTTTAGATTTTCTGAAATGGCACCTTTTACATTTATACCAGCCTATTTCCAACCTTTCAACACAGAGGAATCCTTAAAAAAAAAAAAAAAAAAAAAAACTTTCCAATCTCATGGAACCCCTGCTAAAAATGACTACATCTACAACTCTTAATGCATTAGTGTGATGGTCAGTGGGAAGAATGCTCTTTACAATTGTCATCATTGGTAAGAATTACAGATAGCTAAAAAGGATCAATGTTGTCAGTGGGAACTTATCTGAGAGGCAAAAATTGCTCATTGCTCATGGAAACCCTAGCAACCTCTGGAAGGAACCCTAAGGTTCCAATGAAACCTGGTTGAGAACCCCTGATTTACACAATTGGGTAGTTGATTTAAAAAAAAAAAAGATGTGCTAATATAGTCTAAATCAGTTACTATTTTAACAGTTACTAGGATGTAGACTAAACATTTGTTTTTTTCAGTGGCAAGCATATTTCCAGCTACTGTAAGGGCTGAAAAACCATGTATACTGGCTAAGCGTACCACATGGCTTCGTACAAAAAGTCCAAAACAAGTAGAAACCTTGAAAACTTCATAGAATTTGCAGCATAAGGGTGTTACAATACAAGCTGGGACATCTCAGCGGCTTGCATTCTGAGCAGCTGCTCAACAGCAATAAATACATGAAATCTCCAGACGGCTTTTCTTTAAAAAGACCCAGATTAGTGTTCCTATTTTAATGAACACGTGTAACTCAAGATGTGTGTATGTATGAGGGCTCGGGTCTCCACGGGACTTCATACAACTGTATTACTGTCTGCTATAGTCACTGCAGAAGTGTGAATATTTCTCAAATAAGGCCTAAAGTGTAAAGTAAACGGTTTGCTTCAAACATTCAACTTTTTTTTCTCTAAATTGCCCTGCAAGTGATTGGATGTTTGAATTGGACACTCAATGGTTCATTCTCATTTGTTAATTTTATATAAAAGTTCAGTTCTCATCTATGCACCTTAGAAAATTTGTTTAGACCTCTACGCTGACCTACCCCTGGTTTTCTATTCTACATTCTGTGCATCTGGGTTTGGAAGCACGACATAGGATGCATTTTAGTACCAACATTGAAAAATTATTTTTTTTTTTTTTATTTTTTTTTTTTAACCAAATTCCATACCGGGCAATTTTACACCTTCCTGCCCAGGCCATTTTTCAGGTTTCAGTGCTCTCACACTTTGAATGACAATTGCGCGGTCATACAACATTGTACCCAAACTAAAATTTTATCATTTTCTTCACACAACTAGAGCTTTCTTTTGGTGGTATTTAATCATCACTGGGGTTTTTATTTTTTGCTAAATTAACAAAAAAAGACCAAAAATTTTGAAAAAAAAAAAAAACATGTTTTTTCTTTGTTTCTGTTATAAAAGTTTGAAACTAAATAATTGTTCTTCATAAATTTAGGCCGAGATGTATTCTGCTACATGTCTTTGGTGAAAATAACCCAAATTAGGATGTATTTTTTAGTTTGTAGGAAGGTTATAGAGTTCACAAACTATGGTATAGATCTGAATATTGATCAATCCTGAAGTACTGACAGCCAATCTAATTTCCTGAGGTCCAAGAATGTCAGAATAGTACAGATATCCCCCAAATGACCACTTTTTGCAAAGTAGACAGTCCGACGTACTTCATCAGAGGTATGGCGAGTTTTTTGAAGTTGTATTTTTTTTGTCATAATTTTTCGGAAAATTAAAAAAATAAAAAA